AGGAAGCCCGGTCCCCCAGCTTCCTACTGAGCCTTCAAGACATCCACAAGAGCCTGTGACAGGCTGTCAGAGCAGCCCTACCAAAGTAAGTTCAAAGGGTGCATGTGTGAACTTGCTGTTCCCTTTTGTGCTGATCCTGACTGACACATTAGGGAGCTGGCGATCCATTTAACAATTAGCCTGAAAAGACCCAGGCCTGTACTGTGCTGCACATATTCCTTGGCTACAGGATAAGCTCAGCCAGAAAACTGTAACAGAGGAGCCTGCAGGCAGCTCTCACTTGTTACTGATGACCATATCAGTTGCATGTCATTGCCTTTATCTAAAAGAGCAGCAAGAAGTTCTCATGTGAACATCCTTTCTGTTTGAGAGCAGAAATTACGAATAGACTTGTTTTCTTGTAAGAAAGTACTATAGTAGCCTGAATGACCAAAATGAGGTAGACCTTTCTACAGATGTGGTGTGTGTGGCATGCTGCACGTGGCTTGGAGGCTCAGTCAATGCCACACAACTCGGGACTTCCCAATATCTAAAGGGATTTAAGAATACTGATACTGTTCTGTCCTTCTTTAAGGTGTTAGCTCTAATAATGAGCATTTTAAATGACACTTTACACAGTCTGGGTGCTCCTCTTACTGGCTTCATAATGGACTAGCTTCTCCTGGTGCAAAACAGCTCTCTACTGCACTGTTATGGCTACGCTCAGATGCACAAGAGGATTTACTCAGCAGACACAGTAGTGTTACTTGTAAATGAGTAGCAGGAGCCAGGTACAAGATCAGGATTAGAAAAGGGTTGATGGTAGGTGGGACCATCATCTGCAGGAGGCAGATGAAAAGAGAAGTATGGTGCAGATGAAAAGAGAAGTATGGTGCTTTCCAGAATGGCCTGCTCTCCTCATCAAGGTCTCATAAAGCTCTACCTGGTTTGAAAGATCTGAACTTTGGGTTAAACTCCCCAAAATGCTGAAAGTGTCATGTCCTTAGCACTACCAGTTTCAGACGCTTCCTGTTGCACGCACTTGCTAAAGTAGTTACAGACACTTTTCCATCACAGGCTAGTACTAATAAATACAATCAGTTCTAAACCTTTAAGCCATACAAAGTAGTAAGATCAAAATAATGCTTTAAAAGCCAACATCTACAACTACTGAAAAAAAAATTGTTCACTTCAATTACGAATTGTGATTTTACTTCCCACACATTTCTACATGGTATAATGGAAACATTCCTGTAATCCTTTGTGCATCTTTAATACAGGCACTAAAAATATTACCTGCAGTTTGGTAGAGGTGTACGGTTTCCATCAAACCCTTTTAACTAAGATCACAAAGCTAGTTTCAATGCAGGAATCTGTATAAAACCATAAGATTTTTCCCTAATGAATTACAAACTCCTTTGAAATGTCCCAAGTACAAGCTTGAAAGGGGGGAAAACTGTTGAAATTTTAAGTCATATTCCTTTATGCAGATCCGCACAAGTAATATATTGCAAAAGTACTCTTCATCAAAACTGCCTACTTATAATCTAAGTATGGGTGAGTAGTAGTCTAAAAAAGGCGTTGTTTTCTACGAAGTCTCAGCCAGACACTGGAAAAAGAGTTAAATTAGAAGTCTACAACACAGACGCTCCTGGAAGAACAAGCAAGAATAATCACTCTTTGCAGCACTAGATGAGTATATGGCCATGGCACAGAAGGGGTAAATGCTTCTGCTCACACTACACATGCTGCAGAAATACAGGTAGAAGCCAAATCCAGTCTCTTGCTTATGTTGGGCAGTTATGCCCAATCTGAAGAGAATCTGTCTTCAGAAATAAATTGGCTACTTCCTGCCTGGAAGCAAGCATTTTAATGGCTGAGAGTGAAGGATAGGTTACTTCTATATGTAATACTTGATTATAGGCTGAATGCATTTGGACACAAAATATATGGTGGACTTCACCACCAGCAAATGTGATTATAAAACATAACACTAAAAAAAAAGAGGAACAGCAGTGTTTTACAGGTTATTTGCATATGCATCTCGTTTTTCTTACAGCCTTAGCAATATCTAACTACTTTGCTTTTTTATACTGTAAAAGATGCATCCGCTAGGACACAGAGAAGAGGTTCATGAAAGGCACAAACTGCAATGGCGAGAAATATCAGAACATGTTTTTTCCCAGCCCATATACAAAGCATATTATCAGCCCTAATTTGCTACCAAGAGCATGATGGTATTTTCATCACAGACCTGAAGTCCAAGTGCCAAACAAAAAGTGTATTACCCAGAGTATTTGTAATGACTAAAGGACAGCAGAACTGTTTTACTATATATTTATTTTTTTAAAATTGCTTTACAATTCTTATTTTTTTTTAATCAGAAGAAAGAATGCTGTCCTTATTCCATATTCACCTGATTGATATTAAAGGAACTAGGATTGATGGCCATAATCCTTTGTGTAGTACTGTTTGACAAGAAATGCAAATTATATGAGAACGTCACAAAAGAAGACAAAATCAATTGAGAGTAAAAGGGTAGAACCCTTTAGGGCTCTGGACAAGGTGTAATGGTTTTAAACTAGAAAAAGGTAGATTTAGACTAGATGTAAGGAAGAAATTTTTCACCATGAGGCTGGTGAAACACTGGCAGAGGTTGCCCACAGAGGTGGTAGATGCCCCATCCCTGGGAACATTCCAGGTCAGGCTGGATGGGGCTCTGAGCAACCTGATCTAGTTGAAGATGTCCCTGATCACTGCAGGGGGGTTGGACTAGATGACCTTAAGAGGTCCCTTCCAACCCAAAGATTCTATGATTCTGTGATTCTAACCCTGACTGTGTAGGGACTGAAAGGATGACTCTAGGGATGGGGGTAGAGGCATGGAGAGTTGAATAAACTTTACATGCATATAAATGGAAAATGAGAGGAGGGGTTTGGGAGAAGGGAAGGAGATGGCTGAGGAAACACAGGGCGACAACAACACAAGTTTTACTGCAGACCTTTATGTTGCATCCTAATATCTTAGTTAAAGACAGGAGAACTATTGCATTTGTGGGAAAACAGGGCAGTTTATACAGGCCTTTGCCTGTGCAAAGACAGTCCTGAGAAGACAGTGGCACATGAATGGATACCTGAATACTAAGACACTCTAGACACCAAGAGAAACCTGGGGAGTGGGAACAGTAGGGATGCCTGTTTGCTGGATGCGAAAACAAACTCAGTTCTACATTTTGTCTTCTGATTATCTCCTCCTATTGCTGACACCATCACTTGCCAGCTCTCTCTAAATTCTCTTTTCTTACCTGTATAGCTGTATAAAGTGTCACACTCTGGCTAAAAATGCTGGATCATTTTTCGTTTTTTCCCACATCCTCGGCAGAGTCAGTCTACTACCTCAGTAAAATAAGCATAACAGTATGGGCCTTGGTGTAAAAAACTAACAATTCAGACATTTAAGAAAAGCTCTCAAAGCACAATGACTGTATGACACTGGGCCATTAGCAAGAACAAGATTTGGTTACTTGGACATATATTTTAAACTTGTGAATTGAAATCTTACTCTCCAAGACTTGTTCTGTTGGAATCACTGGAGTTTGCTGGGTGACATAAAAGAAAGGCACTTCCTAAAGCAGAAGTAGTAAGAACTTGAGCCATCCTCATCCCATCGCAGAAAATGAGTAATTTAGCAGCACTCTAAATGTACCTTGTAAACTGAAGTGCCTCCGACGATCCAAACCATGTCTACTTTACTTTTTAACTCTGGTGAATCCAGAAGGGCTAAAGCATCATCCAGACTTTTGGAAAGATAATGTGCTCCTTTTGGGGTTTCCCTAGAAAAAGCAAAGTTTTATTACTAAATAATTAGAGGACCATTAACCATGATAATCAATACCACCTAGACATAAAACACGTTTTACTGAATCTACAAATGACGAAATATTTCACATTAGTTAATTATTTTGAAAGGTCTATTACTGCTAAACTATGTTAGAATTCTCATCTGACTGCAGGATTGTTTAATAAATCAGCTTAATCATAACAGTGACTTAAGTGGCATAAATTACAGATCTGAAATTTTAGTCATGTTTTTTTAAAAACATGAGAAACTTAGATATCTATAAAATTAAATAGACTTCTACTTGAATCCTAGAATATTAATATTTCATTCAATAAAACTAGTCAAAAAGCCCTTCCCCTCCCCCCATATTCAGCTCAATACCCACCAACATCCTCCAAAGCAATAAACCATTATAAGTGGACATTTTTGTTTAAGAATATTTGGATGACTGTGGGTGATGCATTCAAGAGAGCTCTGAAAAAAGACAGTTCTTCCTTAAATGCTAACAAAAATAAACTTAAAAAAAGGGATTAAGAGCCACCAGCCTAACAAGGAACTAGAGAAATACAGTTAAATACGTCAGTCAGAAAGACTACCGACAATTGTCAGATGGTTTGTTGTAGAGCTTAGACTAGCATTCAGCATGCCATGTAATGACAATTATCTTGTGAATTGATTCCAAAATAAAAGAAAAAAAAAAGAAAATTAAAGGTAAAGTAGTGATATCACTCAGGACTAACAGCAGAGATGCTTCCTAACCATGTATCAAAAATGTTACATGCAGAATTACTTTATGATGTATTGCTACACATATTTTTAGGTGCTGACTTTTAATTTTTTTTACAGGCCTATAATTCATCATACATACTTGAGCTCCCTGCTGAGCACTATATTGATTCTGTCTTTTAAAGGACGATTCTTCTCAGGAATGGAGAACCAGGTTTTTTTACCCATTATCAGTGCATTCTGTTTACCTGAGTAAGAGAGAAAACACTAATTTAAAGGGTATTTTTGCTCTTCCCCAAGTTTGTTTTGGTTGTTTAGCGATACTGCTGGACTTTCCCTCCCCTTCCGAACTCCATTTCAGCAGTTACCAAAAATACAATCTTAGGCCCCAATTCTCAAATTAGTCACACATATAGAAGAACACGTTTGTGGCCTCAAACCCTTGTCAGGCTCATGCACACCTGTTAACTTATAATTGAAAGAAAATTTAAAAAGGCATGTCACTGCCTATTACATGCATTACACAGATACTGGCTCTGCTATAGTTACAGACCCAAATTAATCTCCGTGTATGAGACCAACTCACACCCTCAAAAGAGTTCTCAGTGTGAAAACATCATTTTTCTCTTCATAAATCCAAGCAGCATGCAGTAATTGAGTTTGTGTTTGCATGTTCCATCATTCCAATTATATGATCAGGAATAATTGCCAGCTTTGAGTGTTATTTAAGGAAAAAAACCAAACAAACGTGTAAAAGGATAACTTTTAGGAGAACCAGCCAAATTAAATCCAAAGCAGAAGTGCAACAGGTATTCAATCATATTTTAGAATTCATCCGTAAGTATAATTTTTGACCAAACCCAAACACTGATAACCTGATTATCTCACAGAATCACAGAATCACAGAAACA